GGCAGCTTCTCGCCTTGATCCGGCGGGGCTCGATCCCACTTGGAAGTCACCATTTCGCCCGGCTGCTGGGAAACGACGGGATTGTCTAGTTTCACCCTCAGGGAACAACCGTCCTGGGAGGAATCTCTGCTTGAACTATCCACTGCTAAGCTACCTCGGTGGGAAGGATGAATCAGATACTGCTCATCCTCACAGGCAGACTTGGAATTCTGATCCTCGGTGCTCTCGTAGCCGCACGTCACCGTTTGCGGCTCTACGTGAACGTCCAGGAAAGCCTCCGAAGTGACCTTGATATCTGCTGCTTCGACTTCAATTTCAACTTCCGAATGATACAAAGACGGGGCGGCGTCCTCTGCAATGTAGCAAAAAACGGGTTCTTTGGTTTTGTCACACGGAGGGGCCTGATCGGCCGGCGTCCCAAGGAAAGCTTGGGAATGATCGACATTCCCAACGGGCAAAGCCGCCGCTTCCCCTCGCGGCTCTGCGGCCGGAGCCTCTGCGTGTCCAAGGAAGCTGTTGCACTCGCTGGACTGCACGTGGGCATCACCCGGCTCCCGCTCCGGAGCCGCACGCGCGGCCTCCAACCCGTTCGAGGGCAACGCGCACAACTCACCGCTGTTCGTGACGGGGGACGCCCCCGACCCGCGCGCGCCGCCGGCGGGGGCCGCCGCCACCGCATCCGGAGGCGCTGGAAGCGGCCAAGCCGTCGGACCTACCTTCTGGGGACCCGTTTATATGCAGTTCCATAGGTAAATAAGTTCTTAATTGCTCAGGCTTTATTAGAGTTTCCTGTCCCTTAACACTGTCATGGCATTCATTTCCTAAAAGTTCATCAGCTTTTGCGTTAGAAAAACCATCTTTTGACTCGTCTGCCTTTTTAAAAGAGGGCGACTCGTTCCATGGATTCACCGGAGAAAGAGTCTTTTCCCTTTCCAATTTTTTTGCAACGGGCGCTCTCGCCTCGTTGCTTCTTAGACAAGAGGCCTCTACATCTAGAGAATTAGACTGCTGCTTTATTTCTTCATTCGATTCTGCACAACAGAAAGAACTTTTAAATTTATCAGGCTTTGGCGCGGGGGTCTTTGAAGGGGTGGACTTATAGCGGGAGGAATTCACATTACTGTCAGGTTTAGAATGGGATGTCCCCTTGCGATAGCCTAGCTCGCTAAGGGGAGAGCACCTTTTGGGGGCTTCGCTCTCCGAAGTCCTTTTGGAATCCCGATCTACTTTGGAAGAAGATTTTCCTCTCCTCTCCGTTTCGCCGTGAGACGCCTCCGTTTTGCCGTCCCGCTCCGATTTGGAGTACGACGTCCTCGAGTCCCGGTACGAGGAGGAATGGGACGACGTCCGCCTCGAGTCGCTCGACCTGGAATGCGTCCTGCGGTATTCCTCCTCGGAATCCGAGCTCTCCCGCGCCCTGCTCTCCGCGTACGAGCGGGAGTACCGCGTCCTTTCCCTGTACGGGGAGCTCCGATGGTACCTCCGCTCGGATTCGTAGTAATGCGACCGCTCCGACCGCGAATAGGAGGAGCTGGTTCTGGAGCCCCGATCGGAGCGGGAGCGGGACCGGGAGCGGCTCCGTCTCCTCTCCCTGTCCGATCGGGACCGGGAGGACCCATAGCGCGAATCTCTATCGGATTTTGAGTAACTGGAATATTTTTCCTCTCTATCCGACTTGGATCGCGACGAGGACTTCCCCGGCTCTTCCCCCCTGAGCGAAGCGGAACTTCTTCTGGAATCTCTCTCTTTTTCCGTGCTGGAAACTTTCAGCTCGTGCGACCGCTGGCTGGAAGAAGTCCTCACAGAATCCTCGTCGGATTCGGAAGCGGGGAAGGGGCCGTCGGACTGGGAGAACTTCCTCTTTGAACCCTGTTTCCTAGAGCACAGGGAAGCACCCTTAGAGCTGTCCGCAATTTCATCCTCTTTCCCAATATGGGAATCTTCCTTCTGGGGGGTTATTTCCGCCTGCTCGAGGGCGTTTGGAGCTAAATGTTCCTCAGAACCGCGGGACAGAGCATCCGGCCTCACGTCCACCTCCGGAGTCTCCTTCGGGACCGCGCGACACGGCGGAACGGGGGCCTCGGCCTCTACAGGCGGCGACAGCAACAGCGTCGACAACAGCGTCACCTGCGGCACACCGTTGCCGCCACCGGTTCCGGCACCGGCGCCACCGCCGGCGGCGGCTTCGCGGTGACGTTGAGCAGGTGCTTCTTGAAATGGATCTTCCCCAGCTCTACCTTCGGCTTCGGAGGCGAAGACTCCTCGGCGGCACCGGGCGCGTCCCCAAGGTCCATTTTAATTTTGGGGTTAAAGTCACTCGGAAGCGGCGCCGCCGGCGAGTTCTGAGGTTCATTTTGCTTCTCGTTTCCGAGCCCAGGCAGAAACCTATTGGGCAAGGTTTTCTTGGTTAAACTAAAGCTGAAGGACACCTTTTGTCTTCCTTGCTCCTCTAGGTTAACCTTCGTCTTGGTGCCTTTGGGCAAAAAGCAGCTCCCGGAATTTTGGGGTTAAAGTCACTCGGAAGCGGCGCCGCCGGCGAGTTCTGAGGTTCATTTTGCTTCTCGTTTCCGAGCCCAGGCAGAAACCTATTGGGCAAGGTTTTCTTGGTTAAACTAAAGCTGAAGGACACCTTTTGTCTTCCTTGCTCCTCTAGGTTAACCTTCGTCTTGGTGCCTTTGGGCAAAAAGCAGCTCCCGGCTTGATGAAGCCGGCCTTCTGCACGGTTTCTGTCTTGCTCTGCAACAAAAAAAAGCAAAGGACGCTGTTAGAGGAACCTTTTTTTGCTTTTTTAACTCTATTCTACAGCAATATTGGACAATCCTTTTTAGCGGTGGGTTTTTCAGGACAATGAGATAGAAATTGGGATCTGTGGCTCAAGATGGGGCCACGGAGCTACCTCCTGTGCCCCTCTCTCCTATGGACCAAATCAATCAAGAACTGGTTGAAACAACTGGTTGTTTCCAGCTCCGAGCAAAACCTCTTTGGGGATTTCGGCCGAGGTCCCTTCCTCGTTGGTTACTGACTAAACTAAAACTTTGGGGGTTTATTTGATTCCTATAAAAAAAAACAGGATTCTACCTACGATCCCGACAAATCCAACTGTAATTGCAGCTCGTCTAAGGAGCTGGACAGCCTAAAGCCATATAGAGCAGGGCTTTAGGCTCATAACTACGGCATGAACACATCCTTGGCAGCAAGAGGGGTTTCCTGCAGCCCATTGTGAATCTTTATGCACTTTGTTGGCCTTGAACTTCTGCAAAACAATGCGGAGCTGCTAAAGGCTCGGTGGTAAATTATTAAATAAGTCCGTGGTGGAATGAAAACCCCATCCCATTCTATTTGCACCCTCAGATTCCATTTATATAAGATTTTTTTGTTGTTTTTTTGGTAAAATGCCCGGTTTTATTATTTAAATTTCGGAAAAAAACATGTCCCGGTCTGCATGTGACTTAATGCTGGCTCATCTGCTCTCCAGGAATGGGTGGTTAGCTGCATTCTGGGGGGAAAAAGGGGGAAATCGGCCCCTTTTAGGCATTTCTGAATGCACTGACCAAAGAGTGACCTTTTCCCAAGGTTCCCAAGTTTCCTTCTCTGGGAAACACTGCATCTGCTTCCAACAGGATCCGTGTAGCATTTTTTAATCTTAACTATTAATCTTAACTAATGCACGAGGGTCTTCACTGAAGCACCAAGGGCAAAATCCCCCCTTTTTGCCCTCGACCTGCTGCAGTTCTTGCTGTAGCAGCAAGAGCTCAGGTTTCTACTATCCCACATATCCGGATGCCAAATGGAGGGAGCTCTCCAAATCCCAACTCAAAAGTGCACCTGAATCCAGGTTTGGATTATGCTCTTACACCTGCATAATCGATACATAAATACAGTAAATGCAGAGCATCTGCATTCAAGACTTTCACAAAAACTTCCCTGATTGCTTTTTATGAGCAAAAATTCACAGTTATGGCAATCCATGTCGGTGTGTGGAGGAAAGTCTTGCCAGGAGAATTGCCATCGGCGCTCCCGCTCCGACGCTGCTGTTGGGATACGTCCATCCTTGTGGAAACCAAGGGCCTGAAGGGGAGAAAGAAGCTCCCACGGATCCACCCCCGTAGACAAAAATAACCAGGTGGGGCCCAAGTGTTTCTCAAGAGCAACAGGAAATGAGAGGAATGGATTTTACTCACCTCGTTTTCTTCTTCTCTATTGCAATCCAGGCGAGGAGCCATGCAAAAGAAAACAGAAAGAGAAGGTGTAAAAATGAATCAGGAATGAGCAGAACTTCCTAAGCGTGGGAGCAGGCAGGAGACCGGCGTCGATGCTGCAAATAGGCAACGAACCTATGGGTTGGAGCATCCCTTTTTCCTGGAGACACCTAACAGGGAAGCACGCGAGAAGAGGCGCCCGGAGAAGCTTCGGAGCTCCATGATTTGAAGGACGGAAAGTTTTCCGGACCCGTTTCCCCGTTCCAACAACTGCCACCCAAAAACCAGGAGCAACCCGTGGGGAGGCCCCACCACCACGGGATGCCTCTCCGGAGGCTCCGCTCCAAGCAATAAAGCTGCATTAAGAGGTTATGAATTATTTTTCCGGTGGCAATTCCAGGCTTTGCTTCTCCTGAGGAAAAGACCCGCGAGTTTAAGGTTTGGCTTGGCCAACGGACGCGCGTGTGATTGACGGGGGGTTAAGAAAACGCCAAATTCTTTGGAATTAGGGCCTAGGAGGAGGATTTGTTTTTAAGAGCACAGAGTTTGAGACTCCCAGAATTAACCTCTATTGGAAGGGAAACAGTCCTAGGCTGCAGGCAGCGTTTCCAGTGCTTTTTTGTGGTTTGCTCCCCAAAAACTCCATCAGCGACAGCTAAACACACGGCGGCTACCCCGAGGGTCCTTAAAATAGAGGAAAACGTGAAAGAGCGACAACAGCCTCACATGCACAGCCTGCCTCCAACAGCCCTTGGAAAAGGGAAAAAAGTGCCTTTTTCCCTTTTTCTCCTTAGTTTCAGCACTTCCAAGGGGCTTATACAGGTTCCCAGGAGACCCCTCGGACAAACTCCAGGCTTTGCTTATGCTAAAAGAGCAGGAACGCCCCGAGGCTCCGCATGACAAAAGGGTCCCCTTCCTTCTGGGAGATAAACATCTGGAAGCTGAAAGCTCCCCATAGCTGAGCAGGGCAACAGGAACAACCCTCATCGAGCTCAAAAAAGCCCCATTCTGGCCACAAAAAGCCCGATTCTGGTCGCAAAAAAAGCCCAATTCTGCTTCCGAAAATCCGCTCAAAGACAGCCCATGACGGGGATGCTGCAATTCCATTTCTTGCTTAAGAAAGGAAAGCAGATGGAAAATCCAACTCTTCCAGCCGGGCACTCGATAGGAGGGAATCCTTCGGATCGGCTGCTTTCCGTGGCTGTTCTGGACTTTCATCTAGGAGAGACACCAATGAAAACTGATGGAATTCCCAAAAATCGGGGCAAAGCAAAGCGGGAAGCGTCCGGGATTTAGGCAGGTGTGAGCTGGGGGGGAAACCCTTGAGCTCCAGCAAATTCCAAGAGAGGAAACACATGGGTCTGTCTAAAGGCACCCGCAGCCCCACAGGATCAAGTCCCTCGACGTGAAATAAAAGAGCAAATTTCCTAAACCTGCTGCAGGGCTGAAGTTCTGGTCTCCAATGCATCCGGCTAGAGATTAAAAAGTAGGACAAATTACTCCAAAATCCTATGATTAACCACGAGAAAGAGTGGGGTGAAATTAGTGCGAGGGGGTTTGTGGCCGAGCGCGGGGCTTTCGATCCCCCAACTCATCCTTATTCCCAGCACAACAAGTTCAACTGGGAATCGGGTGGCGTTGGGGGGAAAAAGCAGGAGATTTAACAGGCAACCCCGTTCTTTCCCCACACCAACCGCATGGAGAGGACAAACTACAGCCCCAGCAGGAAAAAGGGGGAAAAAAATCCATGTCAAATATTTTCCTTCAATAGAAGCCTGAAACCTGGCCAGATTTCACCAGAAAATGAGGTCAGTGTGGCTGGAAGCGTTTACCTGAGCGGCGCTTCCTAAATCCGGCTCTCCATCCCTGTTTTCCCGTGGATAAAACATTTCTCTCCGTTGGGAGTTGTGGGGCTGAAGGGATGGGGAGCGAGACTGTTTCTCCTGTGCTCAAATATGAAAAAAAAAATATATATATATACATATATATATAAAAATAGCAAACTGAACACACCAGGAGACAAGAAGTTATTTTTTCCTTCCTTCTTTTGCTATAAAATAAGGGCTAAGTGACATCGGGCACAAGTGTCACTAAAGGATTTTGCTCTTAATACAGACCCTGGGGGCTGCTCCGCACCTGCAACCCCCCTTTTAATGCACCGCGGCCCTTCCATGGATTTGGCATTCAGGAGAACCCAGGGAAAAGCTGCAGGGAGGGACCGGGACGGAGCCGCTGCGATGCCGTACGGACAACTTAC